TTTTCTAAATGTATATTGCACCATGACGGGCAAGTATAAAACATGATTTTTTTCCAATCTCATTGTCCTCAAGAGGAAGGGAGTAAAGCTAGTACTGAACTCTTTGAAGACCTTGCTGTGCTTGTATCTAAGAGGGCTTTCACAATTAAAGCTTCTGTACCACACAGAACGAACTCTGGTGAAAAATGCTGGTCGTCCTCAAGGCCAGAAACTGGAAGTAAAATTGGATGTGAGAATCTGAGAGTCTTTGAATTGTATGACCTAATCCTCTCTGATCACAAGTGGATGAATTTAACCCACCGTAAATAAGTATATTAGATCTTCATGCAAAGCTTTGGTCACTGACATTTTAGGCATCCTCTAACACCTAGACCCAAAAGTAAATAACTATTATAATCTTATTCAGTCCTCCAGTTGCCTTATTATTTAAGTATCAGATAGGACTTCAAAAAGAGGGATGAAGACTGGCTCACGTTGATCTTTGTGGATGACCATACGAAGAAACTAAAACCAGAGTAACTGATGCTAAAAAGTGGCACAGAAAATGTGCTAAATTACTTCATTTTATTAACACAGTAGCTAAGTGACTTCCTCACACCTTAGTTCCATGTATAGGATGCGGTCTAGAGAGGAAAACTGGCAAACTGATAATGTATTTCAAGACTGAGACTGGAGTTCAATGAGCATTTCTGAAACGTATACAGCCATCTTACCCTTATGCAATCTAATATAGTTCTACAACTTCTGTTGCCCAAGTAATTCATAATCTTTTCAAAGGATTGTCACTTGAAAGATTCCGTTTTAACAGGTGGAGAAACATGAAGAAAGAGAACTGAGATGACTTACCCAGGAAAAACGTGGGTAACTTAGGGATGAATTGCATTTCGCTTTTTAGCATCCAGGTTTGCACTCTGACTCCCAACTATTATCCTTCTCTGAGGCTCCGTATCTAAGTAACTTACCAGAAGCACTGACCCACCAGCCATCACCCTCATTGAACTGCACTTGACCTGTTATTTCAGCCTGAGACAAAATCAACTCTAAAACTTGTTTGGGTTCTCCTATTTGGAGTTTGAGAGTCTTGTATGACAGAACTATTGTCTTTGCTCCTCCTGTAGTTCCACACATTTAGTTTTGCTGCTAATGACCAACAGCAGATTCAGTTACTGTATAACCCCAATTTATTTCAAAAGTATCATCTATTCTACATACTGAAAGAAGAGGAGGACAAAAAAATATGTAGCTCTGAAATTTAAAGTTACATTACATCAGTGGATGAAACTGAGATACATCCTAACTCCACATAAACCTGTTTTCTTGACTTTTCAAATTTCATTTTTGACACTGTAAACAATTCTCTTTTTAAAAAATGTCCTTTAGTTGAAGATAATAGTTGTCCACAACTCTACCACCTTCCTTCCACTGTATCACTGTGAAGCATTGCATTTTAGACTGTCAGCATTGTAGTGATGATCATCCATCACCTGAATTGAAGTCTAAAAATACAAGTACACAGAGACACAAGACAAATTCAGCTGCTGGCTTCAGAACTCCACCTCTGTGGAATAGGCATAAAATGCCAGAGACTCCTAATTAACAACAGCGCTAGTGGCCTACATATATGTGAAAACCTCATTTAATGAAGAGCAGAGTTTTACCAGATACTGTCTGAGAAACCATACTTCTTCCACATTTATCTGCCTCCATGTGCTATACTACTGTACTGCATTATTTTTCTTTTATAACAAATAAAGGCTGCAGAAATAATGCTCGTGGTCAGCAGTGTCAATAAAACTGGAACCCAGGTAACGTTTCTTGGTTTCCCGTGCAGTTCCCACCTAGGCTGCCACCTTCCCCTGATCTGTCTGATGAGAAGCAATTGCAGCAGCAAGAGCATCCATTTCGCTTACATCCCAGTTAGTGGTTAGTGCTGCGCACCCAAATAGAGTTGCAGTGCAAAACCAAGAGCCAGTACTGATAAGCAATGAAATGACTTTAAATTATCTAGCAATTCTGAGTTAGCCAAGCAGAGCTGGAAGGTAGCGGCTGTCAATAGCTTTAGCTTAGGCCAATCCAAACATTTCATGAAAGCAACAAAAGGCATCCTTATCATTCCAGGATGACCTTCTAGATAAATTTTAGGTTGCAAAAAGTTGAAATGTTACAATGTTTTTGTAGTGCAAAGCCTTAGTGAACTAAATATAGGCAGAAGCACCATTCTCCCACTGTTTCTATAATCTTCCGATTCACAAAACCCACATTTGTTCACTTTCACAATCTAGGAGTGAGTTGCAGGTCTAAATCCCAAACTCTCAGTGAAAGAAGAGCGGCAGTTCCTGGAAAGGCTGAAGTTTGTCAGTATTCAGATCAAGACAGATGAACATGTTTTCTGTGATTTGGTTTATTCTTGTGATAGTTGGGATCAGAGGAACTGCAGAAAAGTATACAGAAACTGATTGTCTAGTTAAAAGTGTACTAGAAAGAAAGCACCTATGAAGGAAGTAGTATGTTTTGATCATGAGTTTCTCTTTCCTGCTTGTCATTTCACCTGCTTTCTATGGCAGTAGATGATGCTTGTCAATTTTCAAGGCTCTCATACATGGCTATGTCTGCCAATATATTTTCTTTTCCTCAGATAAATTGACATTGTTAAGATTCAGCGCCGTCTGATGGTATTACAACCAGATATTAACTGCTTCTTGCCAACACTCACTCCAACACCACAACACATTGTCATGGACTGTCTGTACATATTTGTTTTATACACACCTTACAGTTTCAGCACACTGTTATGTAACTGACTGGATTTTGGCTTAGCTCCCCTTGCTGGGATTGCTCCCAACCATACCAATGTATCCGCTATTGAATCTGCAGTTGGATTTGTCAACTAGCATGTTATTTCCTTAGGTATATTCTTAAGAGGATGACTACAGCAAAAACTAATAATCTCCTGAAAAATGTTTGTTCTGTTGACAAGGCCATTCAACTGAGGCAAGTAGATGTCTAGCAATTAAAATTGTAAGCAATAATCTTGAGTATTGCATGTTACAGAGAGACACGATAGCACAGACTCAGCAGTTTCAAGGAGAGCTGAAGGGTGATATCTGGAGGAGTCCAGACCAGACTGTGCAGACCAGGTCTTGGAACCTGCCTTGCAGAAGACTCATTGGCCATGCTGTTGAGTCAATGATAGCTCTGATTAATGTCACAAACTGTGTTACACTGAAAATGGATTTTCCTCTGTTTATTTTCAATCCCAGGCCTTACAAAAAGAGCAGGTTGTTGGTGGGGCGTCTAGTAAGACTGAACTCAGATACTGACAGACAAGGAAAGTTTACCCATACTTAACTTTCTATCATCTTGTCTTTCTTACATCTTTGAAGATCTAGAGTGGCTGTAATTATTTTCACGCTTCTAAAAACAAGACTCCTACACCCTCCTCCTGCAAAACCTTTTAAAATAGTTACTCCCTCCTCTATACTTCACATACTTGTCCTATCTGTGCCCCTTCCCCCTCTTAATTGTCCTCAAAGGCATAAAAGAACTCTAAACTTTAATTCCTTTGACATTACAAGTGGAGTGGGTGGCTAAAATAAGAAAAATGAAATATTTATACAATATAAAAATTGCAATAAAATTCTGTTTAAAAAAATCTAACTAACCAGCTGTTCAAAACAGTAAAAGCAGAAATAAAATAATTAATCAGTTCTGCCAACTCTTGAGGATTTTGTGACTGGCAACAGTAAGATATTTTCTACTTCACTTGCAAATATCTTTTCACCCGTGTATTAAAAATCATGCCTCAGTTTTCGAGCTGATGAAGGAAACAACATGTTCATGCCAGGTTCAGGTATCAATACTGCAGATAGCAGTTTTTCCCTCTATGACTGTGGGAAAAGGAAGACCATACAAATAACTTCGTCATTTACATACAGTGTAAATAAAGATTGTTGATATTGTGCCATTTTTGTACAATCAACATTTGGACAGAAAAATAAGTAAAATATTTCTTCTTTTTTCACAGATGAAATAGGCTTCTTTTGTCTATTTGTCTCAGGAAAGAAGGAAAAATACGCTGGTCTCTACCTGGATTTCAGCACTTGTTTTTTACAGAACATCCTATCATGATGTTCTCCCCACAACACAGTCCTGGAAATCTGGGTGGTTGCTTTCACATCACGAGATCAAACATGTGAAGTGGAAATTTCTGTTCTTCCTAAAGAGCTGTTTCAATGCTAGAGATGCTGTTACATTTTGCTCCTGCTGCACAGCCACAGTTTGCCAATGTGGAGAAAAACAACTGACCTTTGGTGAAGAGGAGATGCAAGCTCACTCACAGAAGCAGTCCAATCTCAGCTTACAACTGTTAGGTTGGCCTTGCACTAAAAGCTGCCATTTTTTCCATCATAGTATTCTGTACTGTTAAATGTCCAAAGCGCTAACTGTGTATTTAGTTTCATTTATGTCAAAACTTAGTAGAAGCAAGACATGGTCTAAATCCTTGTCTTTTTTTTTTAGGCATTAGGGTTGAGTTCTTCAATGTTCAAGGAGATGCTCAGTGGGATATTCTTAATTGCTTAGGTCTAATTCCCACTGAAACTTGAACATCTTAAAAATCTGGCCTGTGGCTTTACCACTGAGCTAAACACGACCAACAGCATTCTTACTTTAAAGTTTCAATGCAATGTATGTATATTATCATAAGAAATTATTTAAAAATTATATTCAAGCATTTTCAGTCTCCACTCATAAACTGGCACCATTTCTTATTCTTGAAATTCTGAAATAAGTTGTGCTGTACTATTTCACTAATGAAATACTTGTCAGTCAGAGCGATCCCTTCCTTTCCACCTATTCATTTTTGTTAAAAAATAAACTCTCAAGTATTGCACCATATAGTGAGACAGAGTTTAGAACAGGACCTTTTCTACAGACTTATAAACAGCATTACGGAGGATTTTCTATGCTAAAATTCCTGTAATCATAATTTTTCTGAATACCTGAAAAAAACCCGGTGGTACAGGACCTACTGGCATGCCATCTCCTGGGGGAATGTTTCCTAGCACTGGACTGGGAGCTGCTGCAGCACTCTGAAAAGAACAAAGGGAGAATAAACCTTTGTCATTGCATGGTAGGCATTAAACCCCCCCCTCAAAAAAACCCACAAACCAAAAAAAAACCAAAAACCTGACAAAAATGCAGAAAGTAATTCCCTGGATATGCCATAAAGTCATTGTTTCATCTGTAGGTAAATTAAAACTGTATAGTGTTTAGTCTTCATTTATATGAGTATAATGATTTGTTAAAATAACAAATATATATTGAGAGGAAGGACTCTAGAGATTGCACGGATATACAAATATGCATCAGATACATCTTGACTAGATTTTAAAAAATATTGTATCTCAGTATGTCTATATATATACAAATGTGAATGTAACTTGCACACTTTTTCTTGTATTAAGTGTATAAACATCCTCACACATGCACAAGGATATACATATAGAATAAAGAAAGTAATTTATGCGTTTTACCAGCAATTTCCAAGCACTTTAAAGATAATTTCAGCAGACTGTAGTATTCTTTCAGAACTACATCAAGCTTCAAAACACGATTCTGTTACAAAACAGTACACGAAGGAATGCTCACGATTCTGCTGGTAATGCTTATGATTCTACCAACCCCAAAAATAACCACTATGACAAATTAGAAGAATTCGGGTTGAGTTTTGGAAGGGAAAAGAAAAAGGATTTCTAAGTGAATCAGCGGATGGAATTATTTACCTTTGCAAATCCTTCAGCTGGAATACGCAAGTAAAGAATATTTCTTCTGGCAATTTACAAGCAGGAGATCATCACAAAAAGGGAAGCCAAACTGTTATTGTTGTCATGTATTGGAACCTCAATTACTTGTAATTTCTAGCAGTCTTCCTTCCTGCAGTATGTTTCTGTAGGGCATAAGGCTGAATCACCTATAAAGGCTTACAACCTTCAGTGAAAGTACTCATGCACACACAATGCATTGAGAGCCACTTGCAGCTTACTAATGACCTGCCAATATCTGCCCTACAGAATATGAATGGCATATGTTTATTAACTTATCACTCTATTGTACACTCACACTCGATATCCAAAAGATGCAGATCTGGAAATTGTATCTCCAGGTGTTTGGCACACTATCTAGCAAATTAAAGAATAATGCTGGAAAGATTTGAAAACTGGCACCAAGAAGGGCTGACCTTTTTAAAGCAAGTAAAAAGGAAATATTCAGTTAATTGCCACAGATTTTTCAAAGGCTTAAGCTGTGCTTTAGAATCAAATTTCTGAACAACTAGCAGTAGCATATTTAGCATCTAAGCTGTATGTTCTTTCCAAACAAAAGTCTAAAACATATCATTAAAATACAAAGACTGCAGAAAGTGCTGGCTTCAGAATTCAGTGCAAGACTGATTCACCAGAAAATCCTGTAACAAAGGGTCTTATTTATGCAAAGGTCTGGTCTGCAGGATCGGTGTTAAAATACTGTATTATTGCAATTTACAGAAAAAGCCAGTCAGATGAGTTGGATGTAGCAAACACTTTTAAATCGTAATACCTTCTCATAAGAGGCTACCACAAATCACCTAAACCAGGCTATAAACCTGTAGCAAATAAAGACGGTTCTCTGCTAGCCACTGCAATTCTTTGGGCACCACCTGAAGTTCATGAGACTGGAGTACGATGCTGCTTAGATGCCTGCAAAATCATGCAACATCCTGGAAGGTCTCAGGTTCTTCTTTCAGGTCTGTCACAGTCTCTTGACCTCCCAGACAGAGGGGAAATAAGCAAGTGGTGTGAATGCACAGAAATAACTCCTGAAGAACAAAATAATCTTGTTACCCTTCCTTTCTTTTGCACAGCTTCTGTTAGTGTCCACTAATTACCTTCAGATTACCTACACTTCCGAAGGAAAACAGAAAAGAAAGTTTTAGGCTTTTTTTTTTAAGCAAAAATAGAGTATCGGGTAACAATGTCAAGTAAAATCATGAATAGGTGCAGACACAGCCTGAGTGAAGCATGTTGGATCTTACTTCCATATGTACAGGTTTTCTAGATGAAGAATGACAACAGTAGCACCTCTGATGGAGAAAATCAATGATGTTAAAAGCCTGAGCATCTTAAAATGTCCAAAATAGCCTGCACTGCATTCTCCGACTAAGAAGGAGCAGCCCATTAAAGGGGCACTAATAATGATGAACCTTATTACAGTATCATCCCTCCTTGCATACCAATTCCTGATTGCCCCTATGCTTCCTTAGCTGGGGGCTATGTTTTCTGGCCATGTAATATGAACTGTAATATGTCCAGTGGAGCCAAAGCATTAAAAAAGACTATAATAAATCACTGGGCAAACACATCTCAACAGTATGAGTCAGGCAAAATACTGTTAAGTTGCGAGATCTCAGGAAAAGAGCCAAGTAGCACCTCCTCTGATAAATGATCAGTTTTCAGAAGTCTCCCATCCCAGGCTCCCTCACTCCTGCTCACGTTATTTAAACTAAACTATACCAGGCACTAATGTATGTCAGAGTGCCTTAATGCACTCAATGGGTCTTAGATGTCCTCCTCAACTGTGGCCCCTGCCAGAGCCCCCCAGTTATGAAAGGATGCTTGTAAGAGAAGGAGGGAATGACTTCTAAGGATGTGGTGCTCCTATAGGGGTACAGGGATCTGCCCCTGCTGAGTTCATGCCATTTCCCACGTCTTGAAAATCACTTTAAAGAAGCAAAACGGTTAAATATACCTAACAGTTAAAAAAAAAAAAAAAAAAAAAGAGAAAGAAGGAAATAAAGATTATTCAAAAAAAGGATTAAAATTACATCTGTTAAGATTTATGTTAGCTGCTAAACCTCCTAAGAAGGCTTTATAAAAAATATACCTAAAGATAGCATTTTCGTAATTGTCTTAATAGTGGGTTTTGGGGTTTTTTTTCCTTCCTGTTTTTGAATCTGACTTAGTACTAATACCAGAGGAACCCAGCTTCACTCCTCGGTGAACCTCAGAGATCAGCACACAACTCTCCAGGACTGGAAAAATGGGCACAGGGCAATCCTTTGTCTACTGAGCTACAGATACAGCATTGAATTACCGTAAATCTACCTCACGCATGTAATGAAACGCGTTACTTTCAGAGGTGCTGCCAATTCCTGTGAAGGAGATTTGGCTCGAAGTAACCACTTTTTAGGAGGAGAGGCTTTTGTACAACTCTGTTGATGAAGAAGATACATAGAAAGGAGCCAGATGAAGCCAACACATGAGACTGGAGAGCTTCTACAGCCTCCTCGGAAAGGACTGATGTCCCATTCTGGAGAGTTGCCCTGAGGGTGGCCAAAAGATCTGAGCAGTGCTAGTGGATTGGTATTGGAGGAATCATTTGTGATGATAAATGGGGAAGAAAAGCAATGTCTTGTGGAGGTGACTGCACAACAAGTGATCTAGAGTGATTTACTCAGTCCTGGTTCTTGTGGTTTCCGGAGAAAAAGGTCTCAACTAGAAGAGGAGTAGTTCTTCATTGCAGGCTAGTTACTCAAAATTAAATTCATTTACTAATGTTGGCCATTTTTTGATTGTGCACTGTGATGTTTCAGGGAGTTACGCAATGTGTTGATTTTAGTTGGCCTAAATATTTGAGACTTGATTACAGTGTGCAATTTACAGACACTTGCACAAAACCATTTCTCCTCTTTAGTTCTGAGCGGGAAGGAGGACCGAACAATGCAAAGTTTGAATGGCCATAATAGTAGGTCAGTTTTACTGACATTTGAAGTATCACTTAATAATTGTAAGAATATTGTAGTTACATGCATTCTGCAGTAGTCCAGTCTTAAGTGTTACAGAAACTTCAATTTCTATCTTTCGTCATGTAATGTGCTGTGGTTTTTTTGCTGTTTTCATGTTTATTTGTTTGAGATTTTCTTCCCTGATGGGCAATGAAGTCTCAAAACCAGAAATAAAGCATTTTCAGTGTTTTAGGTATATTACATTTTCTAGCTTGTGCTATCCAATGAACATTTTAAGAACTTATACCAGGTAGATCAATAAACAAACCTGCAACTACTGCATTGAAATATTCGTGTTTATTCTATCCTGATGAATTATTCAGTTCTTTTTTTCACAGTCCCACAGCAAACTATGGCTTCTTTTTGCATGCATTACAAGTTGTTCATCATTTATACTTCCATTAGTTTGGCATTTTAAATATCTGCAATTTGCTTTCCCTGCTTTCATAAGAAGATGAAATAGGAAAATTTAAATGGTGTTATCTTTTTATACAGTATCTTACCTCCTTAAAAATGGAAATCTGTATTTGCTTTTGTAGCTTAAATACTGAATTTACAGTATCTCTTTACAATTATTAATTAAAATGGTGTACTTGAATGAAACTTGCTGTGGTCAGTCTTTGCTCTAACCAAGCTACTCTTGATAATGTAAAAATAGATGATTATATTAAAAATAAAACTAGCCACAGTTTAGGCTGCTTTTTACAATAAAGAAATCACAAACTAAATAAAAAATAAAACCGAAATAGGTTAGTTATTCCATTAGTACAGTATCTGAAATACAAAAATCCATAGAGAAGTCTGCAACACATAGGTCATTTTTTGAGGCTATCACAAGTGGTTTACGATGGAAGCTCACAGAAGAATTTCATTTGCAATCAAAGAATTTCACAAAGGACGGACCTGACTTTATCTGTAAAAATCCTCATCCAGCTCATTCACTAATCCAGGCATTTAATTTCAGGTATTTTGCTTAGAGCAAGACATCCTTATTTTTATCCAAAGAAGTTTATTACTTTACTAAATTTTTCCCCCCAAAAAAGATATTTCTAATTTTTTAGACATCTACTTGATGATGAACGATTAAGTCTACTTGATGATGGATGAGAGAAGTTGGACCTCACATACAAGACAGATTTATGGCCACTCTTGGCCCCTCAATTCCCTCATCACTCTAGTATCCTCCACAAACCTCCTCTACATCAGCCCTAAATCTGATGACTTAGCTGGACAGTCCTAGTTCTAGGTGAATTCTAGAAGTGGTGGGTACCC